TGACAACCACATGACCTGCCAAAAATATTCATTTGGGTGTACCCACTAAGGGCCTGTTTATATGATGGGACGGGACGTTTTCATCCCGCCTAGACGGGAAACTCGCCTAGTGTTTATATGGACAAAATACATTGCCGGAATGAAGCCATTTAAGTGCTTGACGTCATATTTTTAAAAAAGCATTTACGCATGCTCAAAAGGGAAAAGTTCATCCCGCCTAGCCGGGATGAAGTGTTTATATGGGAATTTTTCGTGCTGGCTAGGTGGGATGAAGTGTTTATATTATATGGGAATTTTTCGTCTCGTTTAGGCGGGATCCCGGCATCTGTTGCCGAGATCCCGTCTAGGTGGGATAAGTGACGGGATCATATAAACACCGCTTTAGAACTTGTATTACGAGCGGGATCTCGGTAAGCATCCCGTCCCGCCTGGCCGGGATCATATAAACAGGCCCTATAAAGTGTACCAAGTTTCATAGAAATTTATTAAATACTCATCAAGATATCATACTTTCTTGTTATTGCCATTATCTCAACTCATACTTGTGACGTCACAACTCAAAATATAGAAAGTGCGACAACTTGAGAATGAGATGAGATATGGCGAAACTGTAAACGCAATTCTTCATCACTCCAGCAGTACTTTTTAGAAAAACAATAAAAAATGAGGTAACAATTTCGTTGCATGGGCACTTTAAACTAAAACATATAAGTCATAACCTATTGAAGTGTCATGTACTTTTATTTAGGAAAATGCCATAATTGTGGCCAGAAAGGCCACAAGTCAAGAAGTTGTAAAAAACGTATGTGTTTTCCTTTTATCTTTTCAAAAAATTTAATAGAAATACTAATCCAACCTCATACTACCTATGAGCTATAACTATAGGTCTAGAGGAGTCGCTAGTTGATAGTTTCCAATTACCACTACTTGTTAATACACCCTTTCGGAAAGTACGTCACGTTGGCTATAGAGCCTCGTTTTCGTGTATCTGACATTAGTCAAAGCCTGATGTCTCAGTCATGGAAACGAGGCTCTATAGCCAAGGTGACGTACTTTCCGGAAGCGTGTATTGGAGTTAAAATAGTAATTGAATTCCTTTTCTGCATTTACAGCTTACAATCGAGATCAAGCAAGTAAGTTTAGAAAATGTTATGTTTTTTTGTATCGTAATACGACTACTAGTAATTAAATTCAGATCATGTAAAATTAATTAAATTAAATACTTTATGATTCTATCTGACTTGTAGGAAGAAGATGTTATCAATGTAGCAAGCCAGGCCACATTGCGAGACATTGTCGTCAAAAAAAGAGTTGGCCTGGCTTGAATGCAGTTGTAATAATGAACTGTAAAAATTGCACCTTTAATACCCTGACAATTGCGAGCAATTTACCCAAAGAAAATTAACCCATATGTACTGTACATGGTAACTTTAACCTGGTTTCAATTTCTTAAAAATAATCGGGATAAACAACAAATAAAATTCCTTATTTTTGGTACTTTTTTCTGCTTAATAATGCGAGCCCGTAAAATGAGAATGTTTGAAAATAAGTTCGCAAACCAACATGATTTACATTCATCAACAGTTTTTCTAAGCGATGCAACATTTTTACTATTCAGGAATCTCACTGAGTAATCAAATTTATAAAATAACATGTATATAACGCGTGCTCTGATTGGTCGAAACCTGTGTTAATTTGGATCAGGCCATCCAAACACGGAAATTTAAAGTGAAAGTTTTTTAAAGTGAAATTTTAACACGGAAAGTTGTTATTTTATAAAACAATTACTTTATGGTTTCCGTGTTTGGATTCGGGCCTGATCCAAACACTTGGGAATGTTGCTCGAGTTAAGAAAAGCGCGCAAAATCACTCGCCTTAGCTTAGGCTCGTGTTTCGCGCGATTTTCTTAACTCTCGCAACATTCCCGCGTGTTTGGATCAGGCCATCCAAACACGGAAACCATAAAGTAATTGTATATTACTATAAAAAACTCAATTTTTAAAAATTATTGGTAAACCTAATATACTATGGTACATTAACCACCGGTATTCTGTAGTAATTTTAGTAAATCTTCCATTAAATTAAGTTAGCAATAACTGTACTCTGTACAGTGTTATCACACAACATGACACACCAAATCCTCGTGCTATTTGATAAACCATTCCTTACTTATTGCCGCACTAGTATTCTGTGGTGCATTAGGATTTTATCCACATAATGTCCGATTTAAAAAATAATAGAATCTGCCAAATCTAACCCCAAGACCACACACGAAGAAAAAAATAATGAAAAAGTATACTAAAAAATATTTAACAGGCTATGTTATAATACATTTGACAAAAAATACGGAACATATAAATTTGTGTGGTAAACCCATCTAGGCACATAGTTTTACACTTCCAAAAAGTAACCAGGTTGAAATTAATCTGTACATACCCCAGTTAGTTTTCATTGGGTAAATTGCTTGTTGTTATTAACACAGTCATGCACTTATTCAATAGCGTTGTCCGCAATTGACGTCACGAAAATTCGACCCCCCGCCAAGACTCAGACAAACATTGGCAACATTTAATATAAATAGTATTACGATTAAGAGCTTCCTGTGAGTTAGTTTGATAGTTTGATCGTTTGTTTACAGTTTATTTGTGCGAAATCATACACACCTTGTACTTTTCGCTTTACCTGAAGTGCCAGTGCAAAATATTTTTGCTTTGGAAGTAGAAATATACACTTTTTCGTCACTTTAGTATCGACTGTCATGTCGTTTCTATCATAGGCAGTGTCTACTGTGTTATAATAGTCCATGGTTTGGCGTAACTGTTGCTATAAAGAAAGGGTATGCAAAAGAAAGGACGATAGAAAGTCTGTAGTAGCAGATATTTAACGAAAAAATCTCGTAGTCGTACCAGATTTAATTCGTAGCCCAAGCGAATCAGTTCTAAAGTTCCCTATTTAATGTTGTTTATTTCATGTTACTAACTTACCCCGCTTTAGTGTGCATTATTTTATTACTTTAGACATCTCTTTTATTAATAGCAAAGTTCAATATTAAAGAAGCTAGGATTATTTACTATAATCTATTGAATACATATTCAACTTATAAAATACGGATTTATTAGGAATGTAATTAAAATTAATACTTTCAAATTTAAACTTTTAAAAAATGTCAAAGATAAACTACAAATATATAATCTTCCGTTGACCAGTAAAACTATTTTGCTTTGACAATACAACAAAAATATGTTATTATAAAAACAACATTTTTATTTATCTATTTTTAAAGTTTTTTAAAATAGAGAACCGCCCTTTATTATTAGCACTGTGTTAATTAAATAGCCTAACACTGTCTGGTTAAACTATTGCTTCCCTCAGTCATAAATTTAACAACAGACGCTCTCACTAAAAACGATGGCGTCCCAGACTCATCTTTTGAGCATCATCCATCTGATTTATATACTGTCGATTTATAAACTCAAGCAGTGGTTAAAATGTAGAGGCCGGCTTATAGCAAAGCGGTATAAAACGCCACGTTCTTCTTCAGCGAGTTAGCGATTGCTTTTAATAGTTCGGAAAAGCATCGTTCGCTGGATGTATTGACGGGGGGAAATGGTTAGCTGCGAAAGTTCTTGGAGAATAACCAGCACAGTCCGCAGTCAATAATAGTCAACACATTGCTACTGCTGAGTACTGTTTCAGCAATTATTCTGAGTATTTTGAATCACTTGGACATGTTCCCCAGCAACAGAGCTTAGCAATAACCATGTTTGTAGTTTGGGATAAATTTAAATTCGTTTTAGCACAGGTAAAATAAATAAAAACGTCAATTTAGACCAATTTATGTTCGCTGCTAGTACAATTCTATACAAAATGTTAGTTTGTTTGTCTGAGTCTCGCGGGGGGTCTTCATTTGGAAAATCTATTTTTAGCTACTGCGGACAACGCTATTAAAGACATTGACTCATCCATTATTCAAGTACAATTTATTATGGTGTAACTCTTCTTTTGGGTGACATTAAAGAGTACTTAATATTTAATACACAGTCCCATTTATATTTCAAGGTGAGGGTTAAGATTTACACTTTAAGGCCCAGTTTTAGACAGCCGGATATGTTTGTGCTTGGTTTGACTTCATTTCAGTAGGGTGAACTAATTAAGTGCATGGTTTGAATCATTAAATCTCGTTTCGCAAATATTGGAAACATTAATTTCGCATTTAAAAGTAGAAAAGTAATTCTTTAGTTCAAAAGATGGAAAGCATGATGTCTAAATGAATGCTGAACTAAATGTATAATTACAACTAACTCAGTCAGACTTGCCATATATGTGCCATGTTTGAATATTTAATTGGCACATGAAATGTATGCTGTCTAAAACTTGTCTTTATTTCTGCGTAAATGAAACAATACACCCTTTCGATAATTATGTCATTTGGCCTGGGAGCCTCGCTCTCATGAATCGTGAGCCAACCACCTTGCGTAATTTACTAATGAGAGCGAGGCTCCAAGACCAAAAAGTATGTGTCATGTAATTATCAAAATTAAGGATGTATTGCCTGGTTTGATATTTTAATTGATTATAGTGCAATAATTTCCATACTGTTTTTTTGCAATTTAAATAAATGTTATCCTTAATGAATTATGACTGTATGACTCCAATCTTGCCCTTCATTACAATTGCTACAAAGTTTCTTTCAAAATATTGCATTAAAAGGGTGCCTGACACAGAGATGAATGGCTATCACTGTTTCAATTTTACAGAGAAAACTTTCTTACGTCACGAAGTGTAGATCCTAAGCAACCATCACACTTTCACTTTGTTCCATCATTGAAACTTTCCCAAGGGGAGGTGCATGACCTTTCAGGAGGTGCATGACCTTTCAGGAGAGGCTCCCCTCAAAATCCGGCCTTGATGCAAATAAATCACCACAGCTAGAAAGAGCATACTAAAATAAGTAAATTATTGCGAAGTTTGGTTGCGAAACGTTGTAAAATACGGAAAATATAGCAAAGTTTGCAAATTTTGTATACTTTTGTATTGCATGCGAAAATTGCAATACAAAAGTGTACAAAATTTGCAAACTTTGTTTGGCTATATTTTCTACATTTTACAACATTTTGCAACCAAACTTTGCAATTTTACTAATTTTAGTATGCCCTTCCCGGGAATATACTTTTTTGCTAAGATAAAAAATTAGTCTATAAGGGACCGGTCATTATTTATGGAAGGGGGGGAGGAGAATTTTTTCTTTTCTAAATTTTTAAAATTGAAAGCCCCCCCTAAAAGAGCAGAAATTTAATGATGACCCCCCTGCATATTTGAATATTTTTCTTTGACCCCCCCCCCATTTTTGACTCACGGATGTTGCGAAGCAACATCTGTGAGTCTTTGTGGTTTACTTGAGTGGGGCAGTTAAACAATGGGAAATGACCAGCCTGCTTTGCGCGCAGTGTTTGCCTGCGAACGGGTCTTTTGGAACCGGAAATTGGGCTGGAGCACGCTTCACGTTCTTTTCAACTTTTGACTTTTTGACAAGCGTGTGCTAAATTAAAAGGTGAGTGTTAATTGACTTAATTGTTATCTGTTTTTCTACTTCACCCAACAGATCTGCTGTTAACACACTGATCTACCTTTTAGCTGAAATATTAACACTATTTTGTTCAATATATATACAAGTGTTCACATTTTCTGGTGCCTTTCGAGCGCCTCTGTCAGCTGTGTTTCAACACCGTTTCAACACTGTTTCCATAGTTTCTGTCGATTGAAAGAGTTTTTTGTTTACCAAATTTAATCATGTTATTTAAATTAAATAATTCATGTTTTAGCTGTCACGGAATACAAAGGACATATTTGTCTTATTCGAAGCAACACGACACAAAATCTTTGTATTAAAGTCGCGTTGCCGACTTGCCGTTGTATATTTCACATGACTGCGCTGGCACTGTTGCCTAGTATCAGCTGGCACGGACGAGTCTCAGCAGTGTATCGATAGATCGCTTCATTTTTATCCTCTATCAGGAGAATTTCAGCTGTCCTTATGCTCTTTGATGAATGTCCCACTTATATTTAGACGCAGTGAAACAACATCAAAACCACCAGTTAATCCAACGAAACTCTGTCGGATTACAGGGGATGGCAATTGTTTATTTAGAGCACTGTCATATATTTTAACCGGTAGACAAACATACCACATGATTTTAAGACAAAAAATAGTGGATCACATGAACATTATAGAACATGTCCTTAGACCATATATGAATAGTTCAGTAGATCATTATTTAGCCACAAGCAACATGAGGAACAGTGGTGTGTGGCGGACTGATATTGAAATTTTTGCAGCCATTCCCTTTTCAATGTAGATATTTATGTTTATTCACAGTTTGGTAACAATTATAAATGGTCCAAAAAGAAAAAGAACATTGGACACTGAGGCAGCATTACCACCTGGATTTACTTACACTGTACTGCCATTGGACAGCTACCTGTACCGTTGTATCAATAAGGGTGCTGTTAAGCTGTTTTATAGTTGTTTTAAATTTTTCTGTTCAACACTGTACACTGTACATCGTACAGCTACGGTCATTGATGCAGCATGTACTGTATTGGTTACAGCTTTATACTTATAGCTATCATGTTTAAATTGTCCTGTTCAACACTCTAGATCGGACAGCTACGGTCATTTGATATATTACATTGGGTACAGCTTTATACTTATTATAGTTATCATGTTTAAATTGTCAGTCTGTTTAACACTGTACATATCGGAAAGCCACGGTCATTGGATGTACTGATACTGACTGTATTAGGTACAGCTTTATACTTATAGTTATTCTGTTGAACACTATACACACCTGACAGCTACGGTTATTGTACTTTTATATAGATTTGCTTTGATAGTGTGTAGTTTTATAATAATCTATTCAGATTGTTTTTTCAAGACTGTTGATATTGGTTAGGGACCGGTCATTATTTATGGAAGGGGGAGGGGAATTTTTTCTTTTCTAAATTTTTAAAATTGAAAGCCCCCCCCCTAAATGGCAGAAATTTAATGATGCCCCCCCTGCATATTAGAATATTTTTCTTTGACCCCCCCCCCCATTTTCATTTTTACTCGTCAAATGGGGATACCCAGGCGTTATAGTATTAATTATTAAATAAGAATATGGAACTGGCAAGATATTAACGTCGACCAAAAATATATATTTATTAGCAGAAAATTGTAATTAAAAGAGGAGTATTTTTATATATAACACTAAAATCAGGTTTCCATTTGGTCTGGGCGATCGTAACCATGTTTAAGGCTGCAACTAGACTTGATGGTACGAAGTATTGCCATAGCAGCTGCGCGGCAACAATGAGAGCAACAATCAGTAAAATTAGCAGCAAAAGGAGATAGCAATGACAATTCTGCCAAGGCATACCTGCGAAATACAGTGTATAGTGGTCTATACATCCTATTTTATGTGAGATTAAAAATTATATAAAAATGACATATACTAGCTACCAGATAAAATCTTTTAGAATGAACATGGGTGGGTGGGTCGGGAAAAGGTATCGAAGCGCAAAACTTGCTGCAGCTAGGCAAAGCATACAATGGTAGAATGAATACCCAGACCGAAGCACTGATCACAAGGCATGAAACAACCCCCTTTGATCGATATGACGTCACAGATTCCCCGCAGCGGATGTGGCCTGCATAATACAAACGCCGTTAACCTTGCTTAATTTAAATGTATTTAACCACATCAAGAGCTGATGTAATAATACATTGTCAATTTAACTAGTCTGCAATCCGTAAAGACTGATTTGCACACAGCACACACAAGACAAGATGAATCCAGACTATTTCACATCAGTGACCATGATTTAGTTGCAACATTTACAACCAAATGGATACCAGGTTATTAAGCAAATTCCTTCAAGTTTAATTGCAACACCCTTTGTCATTTTCTTGAAAAAATTTAATAGCCCCCCTTCTAGTCATTTCTACATATGCCCCCCCCCCTTATTTTTTTCCTCCCCTCCCCCCTTCCATAATTAATGACCGGTCCCTTATTGTTAAAATCGAGGATGTTGTTAAAATTAAACTGTTTAAACCTGTAAGATCTTCGGGAACATTTTATATTATGTCGTGTTTTACCAAATAATGTCCTTGCCCTTGCACGGTTCCCATTTGTAAAAAACTGCTGTAAATCATATCTCCCTTTAATTAATTTGATCTCATCCGTGAGTCGGCCTCGAAGGCCTTTGATCATTTTTGCTCGTCAAATGGGGATACCCAGGCGTTATAGTGTTAATTATTAAATAAGAATATGGAACTGGCAAGATATTAACGTCGACCAAAAATATATATTAGCAGAAAATTATAATTAAAAGAGGAGTATTTTTATATATAACACTAAAATCAGGTTTCCATTTGGTCTGGGCGATTGTAACCATGTTTAAGGCTGCAACTAGACTTGATGGTACGAAGTATTGCCATAGCAGCTGCGCAGCAACAATGAGAGCAACAATCAGTAATATTAGCAGCAAAAGGAGATAGCAATGACAATTCTGCCAAGGCATACCTGCGAAATACAATGTATAGTGGTCTATTCATCCTATTTTATGTGAGATTAAAAATTATATAAAATAAAATGACATATACTAGCTACCAGATAAAATCCTTCAGAATGAACATGGGTGGGTGGGTGGATGGGGAAAAGGTATCGAAGCGCAAAACTTGCTGCAGCTAGGCAAAGCATACAATGGCAGAATGAATACCCAGACCGAAGCACTGATCACAAGGCATGAAACAACCCCCTTTGATCAATATGACGTCACAGACTCCCCTCAGTGGATGTGGCCTGCATAATACATCCGCCGTTAACCTTGCTTAATTTAAATGTATTTAACCACATCAAGAGCTGATGTAATAATGCATTCTCAATTTAACTAGTCTGCAAACCATAAATCTGATTTGCAGACAGCACACACAAGACAAGATGAATCCGTCTGGACATCAGTGACCATGATTTAGTTGCAACATTTACAACCAAATGGATACCAGGTTACTAAGCAAATTCCTTCAAATTTAATTGTAACCCC